CTCAATGCCCTTTAAAACTCCTCCCATTGACCTAAACTCCTCCTATTGACCTATTACTAACATACTGACACATGCTCTCTAGTTAGAGTTACATAGAGCTATACAAGGTTACATGGATCTATATGGTCCAGAATAGTTCCAGTTAGGACAATTTATGTCATCAGGTCTGGGGAGCCCAGAGGACCAGTAAGGTCCTGAGGTGGCTCCATTGTTGACATCTGCTGCCTGCTCTTAGCCTTTAATGGCAATTTTTTTCTGAAAAATAATTGTTTTTATATGTTACTGTACACCACCCAGAATCATTTTTTGTGAGATGGATGGCCATATAAATTAGATAATAAATAAATACAATTAGCAGATTTATTGGTTTGTTTATGAAATTTATAGATTATCCCAATCTGTTATGACTCCAAAGTACAACAGTAAAATACTAGATAGATAGATAGATAGATAGATAGATAGACAGAGATAGATAGATAAACCTTTATTGTCATTTTTACTGTGCACACAATGGCACACATTAAAAATGAAATTGAGTTGCTTGCTCTCAAAGTGTACACATACATAACACAGATTTAAACATATTATATACAACATATGTACAGATCTACACCCTTACATATAAGTAACATAAATATTAAATCACTGTCCATCTTGAGTACATAGCAGAAAGAGGAAGCTTTAGAGTTCACAAAGTTAATACTGTATGGAACAAAACTGTGACTGAATCTGGAGGTTCTGCTTCGGATACCACGGAGCCTCTTCCCAGAAGGTAATAAGGAAAACAGGTCATGAAGAGGATGTGTAGTGTCCCAGACAATCTTACAGACCCTGCTCAAGCAATGCTTATGTGCTATGTCCTGGATGGAAGGGAGGGAACTGCCAATGATCTTTTCAGCCATCCTCACCACTCTCTGCACCGCCTTCCTGTCTGAAGCGAGGTGATGCTTCTAAACCAGACTGTATGACAGGATGCTCTCGATCGTCCCTGTTTTTCTCATGCAACGCAGAAAATGCAGGCGCTGCTGTGCCCGCTTCACCAGTGTCTCGCTGTTGAGCGACCAAGCCAGCCTACTGGTTAACTGCACACCCAGGAATTTGATGCTGGTAACCATCTCCACAGGTGGAATCATTAATGCACAGAGGAGTGTGGCTGTGCCTGCCTTTTCTGAAATCGACAATGATCTCTCTGGTTTTTCCAGTATTTAAAACTAGGCTGTCTTCCTTACAGCAGTTCACCAAACCCTCAACCTCCTTGCAGTAAGCACCCTCATTGCCATCATGAATAAGGCCCACTACTGTTGGGTTGCATATAAATTTTATAAATAAATACTATAAAATTCGGGAAACATCAAAAGTCCAGGAAAAAAACCCGCACAATTGTTTAAAAAAAAAACAGAACACTGCAGAGATCCATCACCCACGCTATCCCAGGGCGAAGTCTTAAGGGCTTGTTTAAATAGGGCCAGGGTGGGAGCTGTACCAGTTTTGGGGGGTTAAGTGGTACCCAAAAGCTGGTGCCAAGACTGAGAAGGAAGGTCCGCTTCCTGGGTCCCACCAAGTGACAGGATTAGTCAATGGGACCTGGCGTATGCCAGCTCTGCCAGGTTATGTGGGATTGGAAAAAATGACATATGACAGGAAATACTAACAGCACTAGCAATAGCACTTAGACTTATATACCACTTCATAGTGCTTTACAGTCCTCTCTCAGCGGTTTACAGGTTCAGCATATTGCCCCCCCCCCCAGCAATCTGGGCCCTCATTTTATCGACATCGGAAGGATGGAAGGCTGAATCTGCCTTGTGCCGGTTAGGATCGAACTCCAGGCTGTGGGCAGTGGGTTCGCCTGAAATACTGCATTCTAACCACTGTGCCACCACGGCTCCTAAATGCCTGAGATAACCGAGCCCTCATTGAATGTGATATCATGTGACCACGCCAACTTAACAATGTCAGTTCTGGCTGCAGCGGCAAGCAAATTACCACAGGTTGTTAAATGTGATGTCACAAGACTGCAACTTGCGATTTCCTGCTGGCTTCCCCATTGACTTTGCTGGTTGGAAGTTGGCTGGGAAAGTTGCACATGGCAGTAATGTGACTGCGGAACACTGCAACTGTCCTACTGTAAATGTGGGTTGACGAGAACCCGAATCATGATCATCTGACTGTAGAGATGCTGTAACAGCTACAACTTTGAGGCGAGTCTCTTTTCGGCGCCGTCGTAAATTCAGACGATTGCTGAACAAGGGGTTGGTACGTAAAGACAACCTGTACATTTTTTGCTATAGTTTTTGTCATGGCTGCTAAGAAAATTAGGTTGTGTGTCTTCCCTTCCAATTGTCTGTCCTCCTTTGCCTGCTCAGAGATCTGGTAACCCTAACCCTAACCCACATCATGAGAATCTACCCACAGGATAACAAGAGGGAGACACTCACAAATGAAAGCCAATATACGTGTCCGAGGATTTATTTATTTATTTATTAAATTTATATACCACCCTATCTCCCTTACGGGACTCAGGGCGGTGAACAGGCGATACTAAAAACCACGATAATAAATGAATAGTTTCTGTTCTAAAATCGAATTAAATAACAGGCCTGTTCTAAAAACACACCCATACAAAACCCCCCACTGAAACATAATCAAACTACGCCAGGCCGGCCGCACGGAATAGATGGGCCTTCAGGGCTCGGCGAAAAAGGTGCAGGTCCGCAACTGTACGTAGGTCGGGGGGTAGGTCATTCCAGAGGGCAGGAGCTGCCACAGAGAAGGCTCTCCCCCTGGGGGTCGCCAGCCGGCATTGTCTGGCCGACGGCACTCTAAGGAGGCCCTCTCTGTGGGAGCGGACTGGTCGAAGGGAGGTGTTTGGTAGGAGGCGGTCTTGCAAATACCTAGGTCCATTGCCATGGAGCGCTTTAAAAGTTGTTACTAACACCTTGAAGCGCACCCGGAAGGCCACCGGCAGCCTGTTGCAGCTTTCAGCATGTGCTGGAGTTTGCCCTCAGGGAACTTCTCTCTCTCTCCAGAATATGTACCCTGAGCTATGTGTTGTACTTATATGGTGCCTGGTTGTATGTGGCTTTTAGTTATTAATTAGGGTTCACAGTCATCGATACTCTAATTAACTAAAAGCCTGTCAGATCTGCCATCAAACTGCTTCAGCAATGCTTTACCTCACTTTGATGGCAGCCTGCCAAAAAATGTGGGGAAAAGAAGTTCTAAGATGGCGGTGGCTGCATTGGCTCTTGAAGGTGAAAAGTTTTGGGAGGGATATTAAGGGATATGGGCCACATGATCAGGAAGGTTTTGATGCGTTTGAGCAACGTGGTAGAACTAAGGTAACATACAACTGACAATCTTTGCTGGTATGGCGAGTTTCTAGCTGTTTCAGAACTGTTGGTGAGACCGTTAAAAGTTGTTGGTGCTGTTTGAAATTGTTCTGCCAGCAGCAAGATCTGACTGCTGGCCCAGCAATGGATTCTACTGCAAATCAGGGCTGTTTCCAAAGGAGGCAGAGGAGGAGAGGTCCCGGGGCTTACGGAGCGAAGGAACTGGATGAGGCTGTCGGCAGGCCCAGAGGATGGGAGAGAGGCTTTTGGAGGAGTTGGTGGCGGTGGCAGCGTGCTCCAGGGGCGAAAAGAAGCGAGGCCTCTTTAAGGAAAAGGTGGAAGAGTCAAGATCAGAAAAAGAAAAGGAGGCGAGGTTGTCGTGCAGGAATACAAGCTAATTTGAGGGCTAATCCACATGGAGCTCCATTTCCATCTGTCCTGTTTGCCATCGTTCGCTCCCTAGAGACTAAAATGGACGATCTGAAACTTGAGCTGGCCACGAACAAGGAGTGTATATCGGAGGTGGTGACCCTTTGAGAGCTGTATGCAACGAAATTTCATTTTGATGTATGCCAATTGGTGTACATTCAAAGTGACAATAAAGTTATTATTATTATTATTATTATGGATCATCGCACAGTCAGCCAGGTGTTCAGACTGGATTTGGCATTTTTGTCTACCTATCGAGTCCTTACCAAGGACCTGGGATAGGCAGATGTGGATGTTTGATGGTATTACAGATATCGTCGCAGGATGGAAGCAGTTCCTAGTAAGGCCGCCTTTTGCAATTGACTAATAGCGAATTTGTCAATGCCAATGGTGTTCAAGTGGTGCTCCAGTTGTTTTGGGATTGCACTCAAGGCGCCTATTACTATTGGTACTACCCTTGCTTGCTTTTGCCACAGTCTTTCTATTTCTATTTGTAGGTCTCTGTATTTTGTTATCTTCTCCAGTTCTTTCTCGTCTATTCTGCTGTCTCCAGGCACTGCCACGTCCACTATCCAGACTTTTTTGTCTTTCTTATCGACAATTGTTAAGTCTGGGGTGTTATGTTGCATCATCATCATCATCATCATTATTATTATTATTATGAAGATATGGGGGAGAGAAATGACAGGAACCAGAGGTGCTATCCAGAGACAACGGTTGAAAGACACAAGGACACAGCCTGGGAATGGGATGCGAAACGCCCATCCAAAGAGGTGCCAAAAGGTGGAACTGTCACCAAAATCTGAACCTTACTGGACATCACCGAGATAACCAAAAGGAGGGCGGGCTTGGGAGAAGGCAAAATTACTGGGGTTACGCGGGAAAGCCTCAGATCTGGCTTTGCTATGCTGCAATTACTTGGCTTCGATAAAAGAATACTTTTCCCTACAAATGGAGTCGAGGGTCTTTCGTTCTTGAAGATTCTTTCCTGGGACAGGTCTAACAAAGCCGTACACAACCGGGCACCATATAGACGCAACAGGTAGCCCAGGGCACACAATCTGGAGAAAGAGAAGTTCCCTGAGGGGGAACTCCAGCACGAGTCTAAAAGCTTGGAAAAACAGAGGTAGACACCATTTGGCTTCAATAGAAAGGCAGAGGAAATACGGTCACAGGGAACCAAAAGCCTATTTGCAGATGCATTTTGTAAACACCGACCCCTTTACAGCAGGACCTTACCTGCTCTTTCTCCTGGCGCATTGTAGCCCGTAGCAAAAAAGCCAAAAGGGAACGCACCGATGCCAAATGCCATGTGGAAGCCTGTGGCTGCTTCAGGAAAACTGCCGATGCCCTGCTGGGGTGGGGAGGGGGAGAAGAAGAAGAGAAAAAAGGAGGAGGGTGGGGTAACGGTGTGTTACAAAAGAGTAGAGTTAGTCCAGGATGAATATGGGAAGGGGAGTCAGAAGCAGGCTACACTCACCCCTCGCGACTCAGGCTCCGGGCGCTGCCCTCGAGGTCGGGGGGGAGTTTTCAATCTGTGTGAGGGAGAAAAAGGTAGGATTACGCCCTTGGCCTCAATCCTGCTGCTTCTGATTTTATTTATTATTGATGCTTTTGCGCCATTTCAATCATTCTGGCTAAGCAGCAAAATAGAATAATAATAATAATAATAATAATAATAATAATAATAATAATAATAATAATAATAATAATAATAATCATAATCATAATCATAATCATAATATTGGAAGGGACCTTGGAGGTCATCTAGTCCAACTCCCGGCTCAGGCAGGAAACCCTATACCAGTGATGGCAAACCTTTTAGAGACCGAGTGCCCCACCCATGGCCCTGCTCCGCTTTGCCCACTGGGCCACCCACCATCTCCACGGCCCGCCACAGATCACCCAGGCAGCCCAGCAGTGCCATGGCGGCCACGCCCTCCGCCCATGCCCCGCATCATCTGCACGCGACGGGGTGCAAGGGCAGAGTCTTGTCCCCGCTGCCCGGCTACCACGTCCTTGGCTGCGCTGCTTGGCATGGGTCATGCCCAGGGGTGACACTCCTCCGGAGGGGCTGCTGATGAGGAAGGGGCCGTGGGAGGAGGAGGGGCTGGGGAGACGGTGCATGTGCCCACAGAGAGGGCTCTGAGTGCCACCTTTGGCACCCGTGCCATAGGTTCGCCACCACTGCCCTATACCATTTCGGACAAAAGGCTGTCCAGTCTCTTCTTAAAAACTTCCAGTGTTGGAGCATTCACCGCTTCTGGAGGCAGGTTGTTCCACTGATTAATTGTTCTAATTCTCAGGAAGTTTCTCCTTAGTTCTAGGTTGCTTCTCTCCTTGATTAGTTTCCATCCGTTGCTTCTTGTCCTGTCTTCAGGCGCTTTGGAGAATAGCTTGACACCCTCTTTTTTGTGACAGCCCCTGAGATATTGGAGCACTGCTATCATGTCCCCCCTCGTCCTTCTCTTCGTTAAACTAGACATACCCAATTCCAGCAGCCGTTCCTTACATGCTTTAGCCTCCAGTCCCCTAATCATCTTTGTTCTCTGTATTCTTTCTAAAGTCTCAACATCTTTTTTACATCGCGGTGACCAAAACTGGATGCAGTATTCCAAGTGTGGCCTTACCAAGGCATTGTAAAGTGGTATTAACACTTCACCTGATCTTGATTCTATCTCTCTGTTAATGTAGCCTAGCACTGTGTTGGCCTTTTTGGCAGCTGCAGCACACTGCTGGCCGATAAAAGTATTAACTTCACCAAATGTCAATCAATGATCATTATTATAAAACCATAGTATTATCATTGATCAACAAGAATTTTCATCTCCTACTCGGGTATTTGGCCTACTCTTACTTCAGATGCACGTTGGAAAAGCCTAAATGCTAAAAATGACAGATGTTATACTGGCAGGGGGACACTCCCCGTGAGGGAAATTCCTGAAGAGAATACTCGCCTCCAAGGGCCCCTTTCCACAAGACACGGGACTCTCACTCAGCATTCTACTGTCCAATTTTATTTCATGTAAACCGTCCAAACCACGTAGGATTTTAAAGAGGTCACCCACACCTTGACTTGCACTGAGAAACAAACCAGTGGTCATCTCTTCTTTGGCAATGTAATTTTAATTCACTCAATTTACCAAGGCTGCCCACACCCCAGATGGGTTACAAAACCCATAACAAAGAATTAAAACAATTACAGGCAGGCCGCGACTTAACCCCATTCATTTACAACGGCACTTAAAAATGATCATATTTCACACTTCACGGCCATTGCAGCATCCCTGTGGTCACACAATCAAAATTTGGATGCTTGTCAACGAGCGGAGTAAAATCTGCAGGGGCTCCTTTACCTTCACCTACTCAAACTCCGACAAAAAAAGGGAGACGCTTTACCTGGGATCCTGTTGAGCAGAGCTTCCACGCCCATACAGAGGGATGACTTTGTCCCGGCTGATGCCCGCCTTGCACACCGGACATTCCTGACGCTGTGGCCGTGTTTCTAGCCACTGAAGAGAAGAAGAACACTTGTAAGTTACACAGACCTGGAAGTTACCTCAGAGGTCTTCTACTCCAGCGGTCCCAACCTTTCCACCTTGGTGGTCCGGCCCAGCCCAGGACAGGGGGGGTTGGGGGGATGTGTAGGCACCGCGTGTACAGTGTTAACGCTGCTAACAACAGTTAGAGATGCAACCATTTTCTTCTTATGTTTTTACTTTTAGGGTTAGATGATGCTGGGGGGGGGGAGGAATGTGCATGAGAGTTTAGATAGACATAATAATACTGGAGTGGTGTGTGAACCGAGGTTAATGAAATAAGAGATGATAAGAACTGGGAGCTGGAGAACTGGAGGGAGAGCCTGCATTTCAAACTAATTGGAGAATGTGATTTATGACTGTTAATTGGAGGAGGGAACGGTGCTTTGATACTATGTGCTCAGGGGAGGGGAATCCAGTTTTTGGCTTTGACTATGTTAGTGCCGATGCTATGCTACTCAAATAAAGATTCTTTAAGGTAAACCATGCCTCGAAGTTCTTTGAAGAGTTTCATCTGTTGGAACCATGACATACAGCTCCATATTGCGAGCAGCGGGCATGCATGCCTTCCACACACGGATGCAGCTTCACACGTGAGCACAAGTACCCACCACACAGGTGCCCTCCGCTCGCGTGACTGGAGCTGCCCACGCTTGCCCATCGCTCCTGCGGCCCGATTTCAAACAGGCCACGGCCCGCTGGTGGGCTGTGGCCTGAGGCTCGGGGACCCCTGTTCTAATCCAACCCCCTGCAGCCAGAAGCTTTGTGGCAACTTCCAAGTGTGTACATATTTACATTAGAAGAAGGCAATTGGGTATCTTTGGGATCTACCACGTTTGCTGTGCCAATTGGCTTTCCATTTTAAAAATGGCTGTCGATTAAATAAGAAGCCAGCAAGTTGAGATCTAAAGCATTAGGCTAGAGTAGGCGTAGGCAACCTTGGCTCTTTTATGACTCGTGGACTTCAACTCCCAGAATTCCTGAGCCAGCCATGCTGAGGGGAAAGGGAGAGGTTTCCAAGCTGAGCCATGCCGGCTCAGGAATTCTGGGAGTTGAAGTCCACGAGTCATAAAAGAGCCAAGGCTGCCTACCCCTGCCTTAGGGTTATAGTCTCGGCTCAGTCTAGACTGTAGCAGATAAGTCTTCAACTTATAACTACAATTGGGACCAGAATTTCTGTTGCTAAGGTGTTCGTTAAATGACTGACAGTCGATTTTACAACCATTTTGCCACAGCTAATCACCACAGTTGTTTAAGTGAATCATGCAGTCGTTAAGGAAATCCTGCCGCCCCGCCCCCTCACACACACTTTGTTTTTCAGAAGCTGGCTGGAAAATTTACAAATGGTGGTCACATGACCCTGAGATTCTGCAACTTTGGTAAATACATGCCAGTTGGTCCATCGCCTTCATTTTGATCAGGTGACCCTGGGGATGCTGCAACAGTTGTAAATAATTATTTAATGTGATGGTAATGTCAATAATAAGCAGGGGATCGTGGTCCGAGATGAAGCACTTGTTTTCGACAGGGAGAAGTGCGAATCAGGTATTTACACATCAGTCGTGCGAGAAAGGCATCCAAAAAGAGAAGCCAATTATAAGGGATGGGGCAGTTTAACGGCTGCTGGAATTGCACGTCTAATTTAATGAAGAGAAGGACAAGGGGGGACATGATAGCAGTGTTCCAATATCTCAGGGGTTGCCACAAAGAAGAAGGAGTCAAGCTATTCTCTAAAGCGCATGAAGGCAGGACAAGAAGCAACGGATGGAAACTAATCAAGGAGAGAAGCAACCTAGAACAGTGGTGGCGAACCTATGGCACGGGTGCCAGAGGCGGCACTCGGAGTCCTCTCTGTGGGCACACGTGCTGTTGCCCCAGCCTCGCCTCCCCCCGTGACCCCCTCCTCTCCAGCAGCCCCCCTGAAGGAGAGTCACTCCTGAGCGTGGCCCACGCGGAGCAGAGTAGCCAAGGACATGGCAGCCAGGCAGCGTAGACAAGACTCTGCCCTCACACCCCATCGTGCACAGTTGATGCTGCAGGGCGCGGGCAGAGGGCGTGGCCGCCATAGCGCTGCTGGGCTGCCTGGGCGATCTGCGGCGGGCCCTGGAGGCGGTGAGTGGCCCTGCAGGCAGGTGGGGCG